TCCCACGGTGGGCATGCCACCCCCTCAGATGGAGTCCTGTGGCATGCAGGTGCAGGGGAGCTGGGCACCACTCCACACAGCGCCTAATGCACCAGCTGAGGGCAATGAACGAGGCAGTCAATGCAGCTGCACCCCTCCAGGAGGCTAAGTAAGCCAAGACACCAACATAAATGAACAGCAGTGCAGCGTCGCTGAGAACCCCTGAGCTGTTCCCTCATCTGAAGAACAGAGGGAGCCTTTCTCTATCAAGACTTCAGTGGGAACTGAGTAAGATTACTTTTAGGGAGTCCCTGACACTGCTCTGTAGATCCTCGATAAATGGTAATTATTATTAGAACACACGCCCCAGCAACAGAAGGATGGCACAGGGCAGGCTAGGCCTAATGCCGAAACTGGGAGAAGCAGTATGGGGAGAAGGGGCAGGAGAGGGGAGCAGCTGCTGCAGGCTGGCATGGGCTAGGAAGACAACCTGGATCTGGAACAGTCCCCAAAGGCCCAGAGTATTATTACTGGAAGTTGTGGGAATTTAAGAAAAGAGGCCTAACAGGCCTTTCGGTCCAATGGCATGTCCTTGAGGGGATGATGGCATCTCATCTTTCTCCTTGCTCTCGGGTTTCCCAGACACAGTCCTGCCATCAAGTGTCACCTCCTCTGTAGGCAAACAATGGGCCAACTAATCTGTGAGACCCCAAAACTGTGACCCAAAATAAACTTTCTCTTCCTATATACAGATTATATACAGTATTTTTGGTATAGTAACAAAGCTGACTACCATGGGGGGGGGCGGTGTCTGATAAGTTCTAGAAGCCAACATAGTGAGCCCGACACCCCCCAAGTCAACCTCTACCTCAGACTCACACTCAGAAAGTGAGATAGTGTCGTCAGCTCACTAATAAGGCAAGGCAAGTCCAGAGACGCGTGTCAAGGGCAGCGGGTCAAGGGCAGCGAGCAAAGCAAGGTTTCACCAAGGCTTTCCTTAGGGCGCAGCTGCAGGTGTTGGACTGGACTGGCTGGGGGTGAGAGGAAAGGTGAGCCTCGGGCATCGTGTGACCAGCCCAGGCCCTCCAAATGCCCCGGCACACCTGGAAGCACACTACCTGAGGCCTTTTGGCCCAGATGCTGACCTGCTGGCTGACTTCCCTCGTACCACCCGAGGCAGACAGCTGTTTTTCCCAGGAGAGAAAGGTCATCTTTTTCTTTCTGGAGTCCCATCGAGGGTTTGAGACAGCCTCAAGGTGACCTTTAAGCTTCCTTTTGAGAAGTAGAAGAGGTAGGGCCCGGTCTCACTTTTACAGAACACCAGGCTCACGTCTGCTTATGTGAAGTGGACAATAATAATTCCTTAGTCTCTCTATTCACAAACTCGTCCTAAGGAGGAAATAGTAGCATATACCTTGCAAAGACCAAAACCAAAACATCATAAGATGTAAAGAGACAAAAGAAGTCTTTTTTTGTCTCTAATCAGGGGACAAGATGAATACCTGCTTTATAGGCATCTGAACCTCTGCCAGACGTTCCAGGTCAGGAATATGGGCAAACAACAGGGGTGCTGCCAGTGGTGAGCTGGTTACCGAGAGCTTCTCCCTGGGAACAAGCACTGCCTGAGAGTCAGGTGAACTGGGACAAAGCAGAATTCATGCAAGAGCCAAACCACAGTACACGAGGGAGGAGGAGAATGGCCCTACCCCAAAGGTTTCAGGACAGTTCGCTCAATTATTCATTTATTCATACATTTATTTATTATTTACTGATTTGAGATGGGGTCTCGTGTATCTGGCCTCAAACTCACTCTGTAACTGAGGATGGCCTTGAACTTCTGATCTTCCTCCTAACCCTCAAGTGCTGAGATTACAGGGTGTTACTATCACACTTGCTTTATGCAGTGCTAGGAATCAACCCCAGGACCTCAGGTATGATAGGCAAGCACTCTACCAACTAAGCTACATACCCAGTTCTGGTTCTCCCAATAATTTAAGTCCCTCTTAAACCACTAACCCTCCTCCCACCAGGAAAAAGACTAGACTACTAGAGAGAGAAAAACAGGGTCCAGAGCAGGGAAGTGACCGGCCCGAGGTCACCTCCGCAGTCCCAGAGGCATCAATTAGAACATTAACTCTGGCCCTGTCTCCCCATGTCAGTCTCCACAAGGTTCTCCTTTGGGCTCTGGGACACAAGCAGGATGGGAAAGGAGACTGCGCACTGTGCTTTCCATTCGTAAAAGAGGGGCCTCTCGCCTGGCAAGGAGCTCCCACAGCTGACAGGATGGGGACTCCACCAAGACCCCTCCCCACTCTGGGGTGAGGAGAGAACGGGCCAGACCCTGAAATAGTTCTCTAGCTCTTGGACAGCAGCCAGGGCAGAGACCACTGCTTCTGCCTCCAGCCTGTTCTCAAGGCACCATCTCCCCTCTTCCCACAACCAGCCCAAGGAGGCACAAGAGAGAGGAGAGGGCAGCCAGGACTACACAGGGCTCGGACAGAATCAAGTCAGGTGGACATATCCAAACCTGAGACCTTAAGGAAGGACCAGGCAGCAGTCCAGGGCTAAGGGATATCGTGCTCCAGTCTCGGAGGATATAGGAAGTAGGGATGCTTCTGCCTTAGGTGGCTAAAATACTAACAGCGGTGGTGGCTGCTCACCAAGCACTCCCTATATATAGAAAGTCAACTGTATATGCATTAATTTACATCCTCATCATCACACCACTAGCACTACAGCTAGATACTACCCCCCTCCACGTACTGGGGGTGGAACCTAGGACTTCGTACATGTTCTCTACCACTGAGCTACACTCCATCCTGTACTTCCCACTTTAGGATAAAGAAACTGAGGTTCAGAGAATGTAAACCACCGGATGGTAGGCGCTTTCTATACTGCAACCTCTAGCCCAGCCTTAATGCTACACAATGAAGCTGGAGGACTGGTTTCTACTGTCGCCATCTGAACAGGACCCTTGAGGTCTTTTGTTCACATTCCCTCTACCCTTTAGCCCCAGGATGGCCTGGTGCCAAGGCTCCTGTTGTCAGAAACAGAAAAATGCCTTTGCCAGCCAGATACTCAGGCCTTTGGGACTGCAAAGGGGGATCATACCCAGTCTTCCCATTCTATGACAGGAAAACTGAGGGCCAAGGTGAGGAGCTTTACCAGGGTTTCCAGAATCAGAACAACAACAGAAATGTCAGCCGTGGCTAAGGAGGCATAATTGGTCAAGGTCACAGGGGGAGGAGAGATGGGAACTCAGTTTCCTGACTGATATTCTTGCCAGCACCCCAACCCTGCTTTCCTGCCCAGGGTCTCGGACTCCACACATGACAAAGCAGGCCAGGCCCAGTCGGTGCCCCTTAGGACAGAGCTATTACATCTGGGCTGCAGGAAAAAGTTTCCACAGTGGGGGCTTTTTGGTCAGATCGCCAGCAGCCAGAGATCTGCAGTGTATGTACCAGCTCCCGATACTGGGACATGAGGGGGCAGAAGGGAGGTGTTAATTTACAGACAGCACTTAGGAAGTCTCATATCTCCTACAGACAAATGACATATCACGGTCACTTCAGGTTCTTATAGTAAATACAGACACAAGGTCCATGACTCAATCGATATAGATAAACAGCAATTCAGATTCTTATTTCACAAGAAAGAAAGACCTTCACGAAAGGCCCAGCTGTTCAAGGTCGTACATTTATGTGAGAATCCGTACACAGGGTTCCCCTTGCTCAGTCCTTGACTTTTTTCCAGGAAGCTGAATGCCATCAGGGTATAGGTGCTGATGGCCCAACTCCATGGCCAAACTCCGCCGACACTATAATGCCTCAGCACCAAAGCCCTGCGCTGGGAAGCCAGCTCCTGGATCTATCAAAACAGAGGCATCAGTTAGTTCCCGCAGCTTGCCCCGGGCACACCAGTCTGGCAACAGTGTCCTTGGGAAAGCTGCAAGGCTTCCCACTCAGTCTCTAACTCCTCAAAGCCCAAATCTCAAGTATAGAGGGGAGCAGAGTCCCAGTACCTTGTGCCTTCCACAGTTAGCTGAAAATGGACTGAAAAAACGCAAGGCAGCTTGCAAAGCCCCCTAGACACTACCTCCAGGGACTTCTGGGCTCTGTGGCCTCTGGAGAACTCCACCAATCACCCAGCAGAATAGGGTGCTCAGGCTGGGCAGGGTGCCCAACCCTTGGGGAGGGAACAGCTTTTCCATGCCCTTCTTCAAAAAAGAATATTTTGAAATCTCTTTAGACCTAGCTCTTCCCTATCTCTTCTCCTTCAGTGAGTAGCCAACATCTCCGGTCAGTCGGGTACAAACCTGAACCAAACCTCAACTTCCTCCACTTTCCTGCCACCCCAAAATGGCCTTCAGAAATGCCTATGAACTGGATAATGGTTGGCATTTCTGGTCTGGAACCCGACTCGGGCATCTGACCGGCCTTGGTAGGCAAAGCTGACAGATACTACCCTGGGGATGAAGGAAAATGAGACTCTGGTGATCCCTGATGTTCTACCACACTCCTAAGTCTCCCATACCTGGTCTCTTAGGATATACAAAACCCTTAGACAGGCCAAGTCCTGAAAACACCCTCTCACGAAGAAGGTAATAAATCGCACTGGTTCCTGTTGACAGGGCAGAAAGTGCCACTTGCTAAAAGATCCTCCTGTCTTACACACAGCTCAGCAGTGGCTTCTCTCTAGGTCCAATTCAAGCCATAGGAGACCTGCCAAGCCTTGGAAGCTTTACTGAAACTACCTAGTATGAGAAGCATCCCATCCTCAAATGCTGTGCATTCTCCTGATCCCTTCCTTCCCCCTACGTAATCCCAGCTCTCATCTTGGAAGGTCCCACCAGATCACATAGCCAGAGTCGGAGTTTAAGGACCAAACATAAAAAGGAGGATCATATCACAGGAGTGGTTCATTCAGATCCCGAGCAGCCACATCTGGTAAGAAATGGGGCAAGAAGCTCACCTATCTGGTGGTGGTGGCGGCAGCAGCACCATCACACACCTCCGACTTACCTATCTTCATGAGGCAGGCCAGGAGGATCCAGAGGGAGATCTCGAATGGTGTGCGCACGTGTAAGTAGTCAATGTCCAGGACTGGAAAGGCCTTTCGAAGTGAATTAACGCCATGTCCAATGTATACATTGGTCAAATTGCGGTCGTCTGGGCGGTGGAGGGGCTCCGATGGAGCAGTGGTGACGTCCCCAATTGAGCGTTCCCGTGGTGGTTCAGAACCTCTGATGGTGCTGGCAGTAGGGCTGGGCTGGAGGCCATGGCTCCTGAGAACAGGTAACAGTCCCACCAAGGCCACCACCAGCAGCAAGGAGGAGAAGATCCGAGGTGGAGAAAGTCCCCAGACGCCAGACCACCGGAGCATCATGCTGTTCCCTCAGCCGGGGAGGCCTCAGCCCTTAGGGAAGTGAGTGTAAGACCTGGGACATAGGTAGTAAGGAGTCTGCAAATGAAGGGAGACTGGAGCAGTCTCTAGGAAAAGTTCATGTTTAGAGAGGTATTTTCGTTTTCTAGAGATTCACGATCTGAAAGTCCAGCTGGAAAAAAAGGGACAAGTACCTTGGAGGAACTAGGGAGGAAACCCAAAAGATCTAGAACTCCAGGCTGGGAGAAGGCAACCGGGGAAACAGCGTCCTAAAGAAAGAGGAAGGGCCAGAACAGGCTGGACCACCGGCAGGGGAAAGGAGGAAGGAAGGATGGGACCTTTAGCAAAGGAAAATCACCGGGGGTGCTGGAACTCGGCTAAACGGAAGGGGTAAGGAGCCTGTGCTAGAGGGGACCGAAAAGGGTGAGACCCACTGCAGGAAAAGGAGAGAGAAGGCTGGAAGGCCAGCCTGAGAGAAAGGAGTAAAGCCGGAAAAAGGCTGAGGCTTCCCCACCCAGAGGAGAGCCAGGGTCCAGGCGCGCCGGGCTTGAGATTCCGGGGAAATGGAGGGAGGCGGAAGACGGAGGCAGGCGGCCTGGCGGGAAGGCGCCTCGGCGCAGGCTGGAGGCGGCTCGCAGTGAGCCAGCAGCAACACACCCCTCCTTGAGACCCCGGTGCAGTGCAGTGGTGCACCCCGGCCCAGCGGCAGCTCCCTCACGGTCAGCTCCAGCTCCACCTCCAGCCCTAACACAGCCCGGAGTCCCGCGGCAGCGGACTGATGTCTCGCTGAGCACAGCGCAGCCATTTATAGGCACCAACGAGCAGCCGGCGCGGCGGGCTAGAGAGACCTGTCAGCGCCCGCGCGGTGCAGCGGCCCCTGTCGCCGAGGGAAGGAAGTATCACGTAAGAAGAGGAAGCCGAGACCCAGACTGGGGAAAAAAAAAAAAAAAAAGTACAGTCTAACACGAATGAAATACTATACTGTCTTCAAAGTATTTTCTCAATACCACGTGGCCTTGAGCAAGTTACTTAGCTTCTCTGCTTCACAGCTTTCTCAACTGTAACGTGGAGATAAGTAGTTATAGCAAACTGGTAACATGATGGCTAGGTGAAGTAATCTATGTGAAATGTTTAGAATGAAAGGGATAGGATCGTGGTTAGGAGGCAGAGTGCTTGCCGACATTTGCAAAGCCTTGATTTCAATGCCCAGCGCCAAAAAATAAATTAAATAAATAAACAAATGTGGACTAGAAATCTGCAATGGAGATAGATGCTCACAAGGGTAGATTTGTGCTAAGGACTGTGTGAGCAGAAATCTGTTACTGCATCCCACCTGCCGGTGCTTTGCTGCCAGTGTATTGGGTTCCCTTGACTGTGGCAGCCTAACTCCAACCTGCCTGTCTCTGTCTCTAGGTCCAAATGTTCCCTTTTATAAGGACTCTAGTCAAATTGAATCAGGAATCTGCCCTAATGACTTTACCTTAGCTTAATCAACTTCAAAAGTCCAATCTAAGCCATGAGCAGTGGCTCCCACCCATAAATGCCAGCACTAGGGAGACTAAGGAAAGAGGAATTTCGACTCGAGTTCAGCTTGTGTAACAAAGTGAGCTCCAGACCAGTCTGGGCTACATAGGGAGATTCTGTCTCAAAGAGACGAAAAAGGTGCTCATCTAAATAAGGCCATATTCACAGGCATTGAGGGGTGGGTGGGTGTAAGGCTTCAACTCCTTTTCAAAGGGCACGTTTCCACCCATAGCAGTAGTGAAATAACAAAAAACCAAGAGTCTGTTTATTTGTTTGATTGGTTTAAAGAGTAAAGAAGGATTTTTATTACCTGCAGGCAGAACACAGCTTCCAAAAATGGCACATTCTCTGTTTTGTGAGACAGGGTCTTGCCATGTAGCCCAGCCTGACTTCTAAATTCTGGCAATTCTCCTGCCTCTGCCTCTCAAGTGGGATTTCTGTGTACCACCACACACAGCTGAAACTGAAGTTTGAATGAATGGTGATGATTGGAATTTGGAAAGCTCAAGAAATTACATCTGTATGGTACAGTCATTGGAAATCTTTTTATCCTAAGTAGTAGGATTTGAACACAGAACTCTGCTTATGCTAAGCAAGCACTCTACCACTGAACCCAGACTGAGAATTCGGTTTTTCCTTTTTTGGCTTTTCAAGACAGGGTTTCTCTGTGTGGCCCTGGCTGTCCTAGAACTCATTCTGTAGACCAGGCTGGCCTCGAACTCACAGAGATCCACTTGCCTCTGCCTCTCGAGTTCTGGGATGAAAGGTGTAGGCCACCACCACCTGGCAAACTGAGAATTTTTGAAATCATTGAAATGCTGTCCTGTTCTGTAGAAGGGTTAGTTAAAGCCAAGAAAGTCAAGACAATCTTAGAGGGGTTCCTTTTAGTTTGACAAGTCTTCTGGACCTGTCGACTAGGCTTTGTGCTGGGCTAGCAACACAGGCATGGGTCATGGAGTGGGAGTAGAGACGGTGACTATGTGTCGGCTCAAGAGCTCAAAATGAGCTTCTGAGTCCCGACAGTGTCCTGTTCCTTTGTCAGAGTGTACCAAGATTCCCAAAAGCCGTTATACTGTGGAAGCTCACCAAGCACTCAGAATTGTGCACTTTTTGGTTTTGTTTGTTTGTTGTTTTTCTGAGACAGGGTTTCTCTGAGTAACAGCCCTGGCTGTTCTGGAACTCGCAGAGATTTGCCTGCCTCTGCCTCTGCTGCGATTAAAGGGGTCGCCACCACCTCCCGACTTCATGCATTTTCCTGTGGATATGAAATCCTTCCAGAAAAAGAAACTTGCAAATAACAAGAGTATGATATGACAACTAAGTGTAAAAGCATTACGGACTTTCCTGAACCTCACATTTTCCAGGGATCGGTTCAGACACTGGGAGGTGACCAAAAAGAATCCAGAGCCAGGCATGGTGGCACATGCCTTTAATCCCAGCACTCAGGAGGTAGAGTCAGGCGGATCTCTGTGAGTTCGAGGCCAGCCTGGTCTACAGAGCGAGATCCAGGACAGGCACCAAAGCTACACAGAGAAACCCTGTCTTGAAAAGCCAAAAAAAAAAAAAAAGAATCCAGAAACATACTGGAGAGATGGCTTAGTGGGTTCAAATTCCCATTGAACTGCATTCAAATCCCCAGCTCTCACATTTAAAATAAAATAAAATAGAAAGAAAGAAAGCCAAGTATCCCCACACACCTTTAACCCTAGCACTGTGGAGGACAAGACAAAAGGATTGCTGGGGCTTGCTGGCCACCAACCTGACTCCAGGTTCAGTGAGAAACTCCATCTCAGTTACTAAGACAAAATGACAGAGCAGGAAACCTGACGTCCTCTGTATGTGCAAGGCTTCTGCACTTGCACACACTACACGTGTATGCATATACTGTACACATGCACACACAAGGGGGGAAGCTTCAGAGAGTGTTATGGGAGCAGATGTCCCAGCATGAGCAAGACCCTGGCTTCATCTCTAGCACTTTAAGAAAACACTAGAACAGATGAAAGGCAAACGTTAGCTGCAATGGAGATAAGCAAAGAGGTCAAGGACCAGAATCAGCCAGGCTTGGTGTCTGGTGCTAGCTCAGGCCTGTAATCTCCGCTTCTCAGGAGACTGAGTCAAGAGGATTGCAAGTTCAACCCAATCAGGCCTACAGAGTGAGCTCAAGGCTAGCCCGAGCAACTTAGTGAGAACCTATATCAAAATAAAATTATATATATATATATATGTGTGTGTGTGTGTGTGTGTGTGTGTGTGTGTGTGTGTGTGTGTGTGTGTATGTAGCCAGGTATCGGTGGTACACTCCTTTAATCCCAGCACTTGGGAGACAGAGGTAGGTGAGTTTGAGGCCAGTCTGGTCTACAGAGTAAGTTCCAGGACAGCCAAGGCTACACAGAGAAACGCTGTCTCGAAAAAAACAAAAAAATAAAATAAAATTATATAAAAGATGGCTGGGGGCATAGCTCAGTGGTGGAGTGCTTGCCTAGCATACAAAATGTCCTGGGTTCCATTCTTCGTACTAAAACCCCAGAAGATCAGAATCAATAATGCCTCACAGTTGTTCAGTCACTGAGAATTGAAAATCAACTGCCCATGTTTGTCAATAATCAAAGTCTTGCTGTTTAGCCAAGAATCAGCACACAGTCGTGATTATTCTCATTCTCACTTTATAGATGGAAAACCAGAGTTTGGATTCTTGAAGCTGTTTACGTAAGATTGTATTGCTATGAGGAAGCAGTGCTAAGATTTACAGCCAGGCTTTAATCTACACCACAGACTCAGTGTAGATTAATAAAAAGAAGAAAAGGCAGAGCCAGAAACTTTCCAGTACTTTCCAGTCCAGACAGCCAGTCACTGGTGCACCCTGATCCCCCGCTCCCTCTCTTCAGCCCTCAGTAAGCCTTTGCTGCCAGCTCAAGAGAGGGCAGATTTGAGGAGGACCAGGAAATACCACCTGTGAGGTCCCCTAGGACATAGAGAAGGTTATAAAAACTTGACAGTATCAGGAAATAATCCTGGGACAGCCTGTGGCTAGGGCACAGTCCCAGGAGGCTTTGGGGCTGCCTAACAGATGATTACTGTCTAGACCCTGTCCCAGCACCACCACAGGCTAGTTATAAAGCCTGGAGTAATCAGTGTCTGTTCCAAGTTCCTTCCACAGTTAATACTGCACAATAGTGCCAAGCTCATGGTAACGTAATTAGGAAATGTACATAAGCTTTAGAGCAGTACCGGCAGGTACCACCTAAATGTGTCACTTATTGTTTCTCCCATGTACCTTGAAGTCCTGAACTTAGACTTTTATGTCTGTTTGGGTTTTTTGTTTGTCTCTTTGTTTCCCCCACTCCTCCACCCCCGAGACAGACAGGGTCTCACTATGTAGCCCTGGCTGTCCTGGAACTCCCTATGTAAACCAAGCTGGCCTTGAACTCACAGAGAACCACCGCCTCTGCCTCTCAAGTGCTGGAATTAAAGGTGTGACCACCCCACCCCCCACCCAGCTTGTTTGGTTCATTTTGATACCGGATTGCTGTAGCTCAGGCTGACTTCCAAACTCCCTATGTAGCTGAAGATGACCTTGAACTTGTTGTCTTCCCACCATCTCCCCACCAAGTGCTGGGACCACGGGTGTGCACCACCATGTTTGAATGCTTGAATTTTTTGCTCTAGGACTTCTCTAAGGTAACCCAGGTAAACATCAAACTCATGATCCTCCTACCTCAGCCTTCTGAGTGTTCATATTGCAGGAGAAACCTTGATGCAAGAACCCTGTGAATTTAGCCAGGTGGTGGTGGCGCACGCCTTTAATCCCAGCACTCGGGAGGCACAGGCAGGCAGATCTCTGTGAGTTCGAGGCCAGCCTGATCTATAGAGTGAGTTCCAGGAAAGGCTCCAAAGCTACACAGAGAAATCCTGTCTCAAGAAACAAAAACAAAACAAAACAAAGAACCCTGTGAATTTGTACACACGATCACAGAGACAATGGACAGGCTAGGAAGGAGACTCTCGCACTGATGAGATTGGTCCTACCATTGCATCACTTGCTCTGAACCTAATACTTCTGAATAAGCATTATCTTGTTAAAGGTCATCCATTAAAATGTACTGTCCAGTGGGAGTGCTTACCTAGCTTGCAGAGGACTCTTGGTTCAATCCTGGCATCACAATAATATAAAGTGTCTTAGTTACGGTTTCTAGTGCTATGAAGAGACACCGTGACCACGGCAACTCTGGCTTACAGTTTCAGAGGGTGGTCCATTATTGTCATGGCGAAAAGCATGGCAGT